ATTCAAGAGAAATGTGGCATGAAGCCATTGTAAAGAGTTGGTCTCTCCTGAACCATGTAATCTTCCAATCAAGATGTAAACAACCCATTCAGAATCCTGAAACTTGAGAATGAGCTGAAAGAGATCTTCAGAAAATGTCTCTAATAGAGCGGTGATGGGAGAGCGGGCGGAAGTCGTGTGAGCACAGAACTGCAAGGTTTTGGATTTGTTTTTAAAGGTCACCTGTGAAACAGGTTGGAGGTAGAGCCCTGGCAACACTGGAGGGGCCATTCAGAAATGTGCTTAATGGAATGTTTTGTTCAGATAACTCTGATTAGGCGTTTTATGTAACTGGACTTAAAGAGTTGTGGGCCAGCGGGATGGCTCAAAGAGTAAAGATGCTTGCCACCAAGGCCGATGCCCTGAATTTCATCCCCAGATTGGACATGGTGCAAGGAGATAATTGACTCCTGCAAGTTGTCCTCTGACCTCCACAGCCATGCTGTGGCACACTCCCATCACCCTGCACCATACATATGCATGTTCTTGCATGCACATTGTACACACATACAAATATAATGTGTATTTCAATATCTAGGCCCCCAAACAGTCAAATAGACCCTCATCTTTGCCCAATAGGATAGAACCTTTATTTACCTAAGGAAACCCCTCTTCTTCCTTGTTAATCTCCCTCACTTACCTGTCATTTCCTAAAAATGTGGTCAGTATCTGGGAGGCAGAATGGAGCAGCTTTGAAATTGTTTTCTTTGAAATTATTTTTGAAAACAAAGCAATTGTCCTCCCCCCTCCATATTTTTTTTTTTTTAAAGCCAGCCTTGTAGTAGACATAGATTATTAATGGTAAAAGGGAGGAGTATAGGAACTTTTTACAACAAATGAAGATTTTATTTTCGGCTTTGAACAAGCAATTGCTGTAGGAAAAGCATGATGGGAGAAACAGTGGCGATGTTCTTAGACAGACTAGCACTGCATGGCATTCCATGATCGTGCTGGGGGAGGGCTAAGACGCTTATTTACTAACTTCTTGTGCATAAGAAGATGTTTCCGTAGTTTCCTTTGAACCACATGAAGCATAAAATAGCTTTTAAAGAAACATACTTAAAAGCGTAATAGGACCCTTCCACAGAGATTTGAGGTTTTTGAATTATGTCAAGGGAAAGTAATGCTGTTCCCAGCGATATGTTCACCTCCCCGACAGATTTCTTTTTTAATTTTAATTTAATTTAATTTTATTTTTTTGTTTTTTGTTTTTTTAGACAGGGTTTCTCTGTGTAGCTTTTGGAGCCTGTCCTGGAACTTGCTCTGTAGACCAGGCTAGCCTTGAACTCACAGAGATCCACCTGCCTCTGCCTCCCAAGTGCTGGGATTAAAGGCATGCACCACCACCTCCCGGCCTTTTTAAATTTTTAAATGACATGTTATTAAAGTGGTGTATTTACATTTTTTTCATTATGAATTATTGAGACAGTCAGGTGGTGGCGGCACACACCTTTAATCCCAGCACTCGGAAGACAGAGGCAGTCAGATCTCTCTGAGTTTGAGGCCAGCCTGGTCTACAGAGTAAGTTCCAGGACAGCGCCAAGATTACACAGAGAAATTGTCTCAAAAAACCAAAACACACACACACACACACACACACATATACAGAGACAGACAGACACACAGACACAGACACGCAGGTACACAGACACACACACACACACACACACACACACACACACACACACAAATTATTGAGACAAAAACATGATAATGATTTATTAGTCTTTCTTTCCTCCTTCTCCTGACTCACCCTCCTCTTGGTTTTCCTTCTCCTCTTTGGAGAATGGGTTCTCTAGGTAGCTCAGGCTGCCTTGAATCTCACAGTCTTCCTGCCTCAGCCTTCCAAGAGCCAGGATTTTAGGCCTGTGTCACCACGCTTTGCTCTCCAGTCCTTAAGACGTGAGGACCACAGTGTCACAACGCATTCTGTGGGGCTGCCTCAGGAGATGAAAGGGACCGTGGACAACTGGTTTTAAATTCTCTTTCTTCCTTCACACCAGTAACAGGGCTGTCTGTTCTCGTCATCGGGTCAGCTCATCAAGATGTACTTCCTGAGTTGAAAGGAGTGTGCTTGCTAAGTACTGAGTAATCGCTACTCCTTCTTTCTTCCAGATAAGTCTCACATATCCCAGGCTGCTCTCAAACTCACTGTGTGACTGAGATAGCCGTAAACTCCTGATTCTTCTGCCTCCACCTCCCAACTGCTGGGATTACAGCCTTGTGTCTACGACACCCAGCTGTAAATTATATTTTAAAGACTTTAAAAAACACACACTCCTAATTTGGATTGAAATAAGGTATTTTGTAAATTAGCGTATCAATGAAAGTTGGTGAATTTTCCAAGGACACACTGTAAAATTATCTATACAGACTCAATGGAAGGAGGAGGAGGGAAGGAGGGGGGAGAGGAAGAGGAGGAAGAGGAGGAAGAGGAGGAGGAAGAAGAGGAGGAGGATCCCTGGAGGTAGTAGGCATCCAGGAAATAATTTAAATACATACAAATACATGTATCTTGGTTACATACAAAACTTTCAAATGAAATTAACTTATCAACGGTGTTGGGCAGGATCCCACCAGAGGCCATGCTCTAGCGACGGTCTTCCTGTAGCTGTGATCTTATTGATTCGTACTTCATTTTGTTAAGGTCACTTGCTTGCAATCCCCAATAAAGCTATGCTTGGCTACTGATGACTAAATTTTCTGTTAGTGTTTTTTTTTTCACACTTTGCTATATAGCTCCAACAAATTTAGATCCCTCGGATAGTTTTCAAAATTTGGATTTACTGTGCTGCTTTGCCTGTTCTCGTCTGCCTTCTATGAGTTCCTATTAGTCATTGAAAGAAGGACAGGGAGCGGAGTGACCTTTTGGGTGGAGAGAAAGGCAGTAAGCACCTCTCTGGGATGGTGTCTTGTGGCTCACTGAAGATGGATCTGTTTAAAACTTTGTTAGGATTTTGTTTACTTCTAAGGTTGTGCAAACTTTCCCCCAAGGAAGTTATGGGATCTTGTTTTCCAATCAGAGTAAGAAAGCTTTATGGGGGTGTATGACTAGCTTCCTACACCACAGTGATGGAGCCCTTCCATCCAGGAGCCTGTTGCCTGCCTGTAAATGGAACTTAGCGCTTAGCGCAGAGGACTGCGGTCTGGGTTTATTTCTGCAGGACCTCGATGGAGTGCTGTGCAGCTGTGGGGTGACTCACTTAAATGCTTTTTTAGGATGACTGTTTTTCTTTGTGTATGTGGGTTTCTTCACCCACTAGTAGACTTCTTCTGCAGTTACTTTTTGGGGAAAGTCACTTTCTCTCATGAGTGTGGACATTTTCTAGTTTTCAATTAATTACCCACTGACAGTCCATGTTGAAAGGGTTGGAAGGGCCAGCACATGTGAGTTTGGGAAAAGTTTCCTGGGTCTGATCTGAGAGGTTTTGTCCTGTGATGACTGTTTGTTAAGGTGTCCTATTCTCTGGGGTCATTTATAGCCCTAGAACACCTCACGTGTGTCCTTTCTAACACTTCTTATGTGGAAACTATGAGTCTGAGAAGGAAGACGTGGATAGGATTTGCTTTGGCTTTTTGAGACAGGATCTTGCATTGTAGCAAAGGTCAGCCTCCAACTCGGGGCAAAATCCTTTTGCCTCAGCTTCTGAGTGCTTGGACTGTGGACCCTAGCCACCATGCCTGCCTGCCTGAAGAATGTTTGGCCATTTGTTTGGTACCACTTGCTTAAGCAGCGTGGGGCAGGAAGGCAGCAGGTGTCCCGGCTCTCATGTCTCACAAATCAAAGTGGAAAAGTGAGATTGTGTAGTGGACGTAATGAGGGAAACACAAGGGAACACGGGGAACACTCGGGAGGGGGAATGATCTCTAGTTGCTGACTGATGGACCAAAGAGAAGATGCTTTGAAAGGGAACAGGATGAAAAAAAAATGGAGGTTTCAGGATACGTATACAAAAATTTGGCTTAGATTTATTTGGTTTTTATTTTTTCCAGTGCTGGGGATGGGGTATGGGCCAAACTCAGGGCTTACTCCATGTCAGACAAACACTTTACCACAGAGTTACATCTTCAGCCCTATCTTCTAATTCACACACACACACACACACACACACACACACACACACACACACACAGAGGTACATACACATACACATTATATACATGTACACAATGCATATATATGCACGAACACGTATGTATATGCATGAACATGTATACACATTTATATACATATATACACATGAACAGATATATACAAATGTACACATGCACATATGTGCACACGTGTATATATTTACACACATATATACATACACACATATACACATGTACATGCATGCATATGTGCATATGCACACTCTAATATGTGCAAGTGACTTTTTAATTGCATGGCTGGGGATGTAGCTGTGTGGTAGAGTACTTGCTTAGCATGTGTAAGTCCCTTAATCCAATCCCCAGAAACACACATGCACACATATGTACAGGCACACACATGCACACATGTGCAAGCACTCTCTCTCTCTCTCTCTCTCTCACACACACACACACACACACATACACACACACAATCACTTGGGTATCCAGATGTATTATATTAGGAGCTTTTCTGTATAGATTGATATAATGTCTCAGTCTCTCTGTCGCTTCTTTTCTTTGAAATTACAGTCTGATGCTATCACAGCGGACGTGGGGTAATCTCTCCTTCTCTGTCTTCCTCTTCTCCTTCCTTCTCTTCCTTCTCCCTCCCCTTCCTTTTTTCTGAAACTGCAGTCAGATGTTATCGTTGGGTGAGGTCATGTGGCTGCCACTTTGAATCGAGGTCAAAGTCCTCAGAACGGCTGGCTCCTCAGCAGATTCCCAAAGACATAAAAGTTGGTCTTTCCAGGTCTCGCGATGGCTCTGGGCTGCCATCTGTTTCTGCCCACACTTTTAACTTCTTCCAATCTGCCCTGTTATTGCAGGTAATGGGACTTCTGACCAACCACGGTGGGGTACCGCACCAGCCTCAGACCGACTACGCTCTCTCCCCTCTCACTGGGGGACTGGAACCCACGACCACGGTGTCAGCCAGCTGCAGTCAGAGACTGGAACACATGAAGAATGTGGACAGTCTGCCCACTTCTCAGCCCTATTGTCCTCCGACCTATAGCACCACAGGCTACAGTATGGACCCTGTCACAGGCTACCAGTATGGGCAGTATGGACAAAGTAAGCCTTGGACGTTCTAGGGGGTAGTTCCTCCTGGAAGGGAGAGAGATCACCTCTTGTCTGAGAAAGGGGAACTGGAAGCATGGTTAAGCCTTTCATCCCAGTATCAGTTCTGTGGCAAAGCCAGCTGATTGCTGCAGCTCAGGCTCCCTGGTGTAATTATTTTCTTAACTGATGTCAATAACATCTTGCAGTTATTAATTGCTGGGACGTAAAGCCGGATTGTCAGTAGGGTAAAACACAGAGGTTGGCCAAAATGAAATAACCTCTGGCATTAGAAACACATGTTCTTAATGAGGTCAGCGCCAGGATCATATGGGGATAAGCCCGGGACACAGAGTTGTGTCAAACTTGTCTCAGGAATAAAAATATTAGTCTCGATCCTTTGATACCGTGGTATTAAATATGACATTGTCAGCCTGTAGCTGATCTTGCCCCTAACTGTGAATTGTCCCAGCGTGACCTAAAAAGCTGCGTGTGTTTCCTTACAGGTGCCTTTCATTATCTCAAGCCAGATATTGCGTAAGTGAACTGTCCACTTGGAGCTAAACTGGCCCTGTTTCCGGCCTCCACAGACTAGACATGAAGAATCTTCTCAGAAAAACAAAAAAAACAAAAAAACAAAAAACAAAAGCAAAAAAAAAAAAAAACCAAACAAAAATAAATAAATAAAATAACATTAAAAAAAAGTCAGCCTTTGGGGGAGGTGGAGACAAAAGAGATTGATTTCCTTTCTCCAGTAGTTGGTTTCAGGTTCTTTGAACGTAGTGGACAAAAAGCAGTGGAGATGAGAAAGACCCCACAGCTACGAAATGCACCAGTTAAAGGCAGCGGCACAAGCTGGCTGCACGTCAAAATGGTCCCAACTCTTCGTTTTGATCAAGACGCTAAAACATTCCGTGTGTGTGTGTGTGTGTGTGTGTGTGTGTGTGAGAGAGAGAGAGAGAGAGAGAGAGAGAGAGAGAGAGAGAGAGAGAGATGAGAGAGAGAGAGAGAGAGAGAGAGAGAGAGAGAGAGAGAGAGAGAGAGAGAGAGAGAGATACATGGACTAGTCTGAGCAAGCAGAATGTTCCCATATATCACAGTTGGATTCTTGAAATCGAACAGGTTTGATGTCCAAGGCTGACCAAGTTTATCACATTCACATGCTTACGTCACGAATCGGGAATGGAGGAATCTTTGACTTTGGCACACTGGAAACTGATAGGAAAACCAACACCACCTTTTTATAGGGAGCTAGACTAGATGTGAAGGATCTCCCCAATAAATTATTACCACACCCTCGTTTGTAATCTAGTTGTCAATCAATGTCCCAGACATGTCTTGTAAAAGGGTGTGGGATAATGAGGAAAATCGTGTTTTTCTGCTGTGGGGATAGATGGATGGCGTTTCATTCATACCCAAGACACATTCGTTTGGAAGCCAGTCTGAGTGGGGGGAAGGGCATGATGGAGAAGAGGTGACACCGGTCACATATCTGCTTCTCAGCGTGCAATACTGTGTACCTCACAGCTGCTTTGGCACTGGCCAAGGTGAGAGAAATGAAATCAGAACTATATTTTTGCAGGTGTTCTTATTTTTGCAGCCCGTAACTCATCATGGTAGAATGCAGCGATGTTGGCTCTTTACCAAACCACCAATGCCCCGACCTGCTTGCTCCTTTTGCCCAGAGATCATGTCCGAGAATTATGCTTTCTACAGTGACGCCGTTTACACTCGTCCCTTATCTACAAAAGGCAGGGCAAGAACAGAAATGTCCACGTGGCTCTCGTGTACTTTTAAATTATACAATGATACCCAATATTAAAGGATGATCGGGAACAGAGGTTTACATACATTTTTTTGTGGTGACATTTAGGATGTCAATAAATCTGTGTTTTGAAATGTTAAGAGGAAGAAGGTGGGAGGTGCTGTTATTTATTTCTTTCTGTTCCTGGAACCATGAATGAGGTAGGCACCAATACATTCCCTTTAGACTTAAGAACAATGAGGTAGTTCGTTAGTGGGACTAGACATAGAACTGAGTTATTTTATATGTTGGGCAAGAGTGATGGAACAGGAGACATAGTATCTTTGTGTTGCAGCCTCAACCAACAACGATGTGTTGTAAAAATGTCTTTCATGTAAAAAGTGCAGTAAATATTTACTATTTATAATGAATAAACAGTTAATGAAAATGTGCCCAACATCGCTTTTTTTGGGGGAAACTGGCGACTGTAGAATGAACGAGAAAGGGCCAAGGGGAATATGACGGAGCAATCATCCTGCTGGTCCCTTGGACGTGGGACTGTGACATGGACAAAAGAGTTTCATATAAACACAAGATGCTGACTTAAACATACTCTGCAGGACTGATTTTACAATGTCAGGGATATGGAATCTAGAAACTCCCCTGCCCCACCTGTCCCCCATTTTTGGTTCACTCAGAGGTGCCAGATCCCTTCAGTAGCATTTGGAAGTGTGTCCCCCAGTGCACCAGGCTCTGTCTTCATCCCCTAATTCCTTTGCATTGCACATTCTATTGGAAAGATGTTTGGCAGCTCCTTTCAGCCTTGGAAGGAAATGGCACTGCCTACTTCTTTCCTTGTTTTCCTTTCCTTCTCCTTCCTCAGCATTCCCCTCCTCTCCTCCTGTCCTCACTCCATCCCACACTTATTTCACGAGAGTCTAGATTTGTCAGCCATAACACTAGACACTGGCGTTGTGACGGCACAGAGTGATGAGTGTGTTGTCTCAATACATCCTGACAATTGTTACTATGAGGGAATGAATTACAATGTCCATGGAAGCTCTTGTATTGAATTAGCCCTCCCAGTGTCTCATGTGATGTCATTTCATGTGTGCAACAGCCATATATGGCCAGAAATTGCTGTATTGGGTACCATTTCTGTAGAACATTCTGGAAATTCGTTGCAGAGCGAGAGTTCTGTGGGTCAGTTGACCTAAAGCATGTAGAATTTTAAGCATCTCAAATATTTGATAAACGGTGGGTAAAAATGTCCAAATTAAAAAAAATCCTATTCTCTTTTTAGCTTCCGCTTGTCCTTCTGATCCACCATGTTGCTCTTTTTCTGACAATTACCTTTTTAAAAAAATAATACAGTCATAGGAAAGGATAATAATTGTCACGGAATGCTTAACTTTTATCAATTCTCACAGAAATTCTGTGAGGTAGACGTCATTAGCTCTACTTTACAGGTGAGTGGATCCATGCCCACAGCTGTTAAGTAGTTGGGCCAGTACCACATGTAAGAACAGCAGACACAGAGCTCAGTGTCTACCAAACATCGTGGTAGAAGCTACCTAAATTTACTTCTCCAAATGCTGACTCAAATACCTACTTCATTATGTCAACCTACTCTTGTGCCAAGCCTAAGTTGAAAACAGGCATCAAAAAAAGTAATTCATTCTCCAATGCATAAGTGATGTGCCACCAGGACCTGGATTTCACAACAGAAGCTGCTCTTCCCAGAGGCCTCTCTTGTCTGTCTCCAGACCCTGGGACCTGCCATGTGTGGCCCAGCCCTCTTTGTGATATATGTCTTTATGCCCCTCTCTTATTTCTGTATCTCTTCGAAGCTATTGCTCTGTTGGCAGTTCTCATGTTCAAAGTCGCTATAGATCTTTCTTCCCCTGATTTTTTGCTCTCACCTAATCAATCTCCAGGAAAAGGAACACCTGACTTCTCCCCTGGCCTGGGGTCCCTACTCTCATCTTCTGGGACAAGCCACCGAGAGGGCTTTGAACCTTTGACATTTAACCAAGCTTGACCCTGCTTATTTGTGACGTCCCCCCTTGATCATATCACCATCCGCATGTATTTGAAAGGCTATAAGTGAAAAGTATAAATCAGAATTAAAGATTGTCAGATTGTCATCCTGTGGTCAGCTCAATGAGTCATTCATAAGCAGCTTCACTAGGAATGGGCATATATATCACAAATATATTATTCCTCTAATGAACTCAATCTGGAGGTGTATTTAAACACACACACATACACACACACACACAAACACACACACCAATATTTAAGCACAGTTGAAAGGGATGCTTATTTATGCTGGCACACAGAAACAAGGCTATGAACAAGGCCACTGGTTCACAGTTGTGAGTTTAGACATGGAGGAGAGGATGGGTGAGTGAGTGATCTGTGTGGATAAGGCATGGAAGAACCTGTTCTCACATTGCCTCAGTTAGAGTCAAAATTAGTACATAGGACCAGAAACAGGGTTTCTATAGAAGGAAACTGACTCTGGGGATAATGGGTCTCAGTTATTCTGAGTGAGTTCTTTTGGCACACACAATTAAGCAGAGCTAGTTCCAAACAAGAAAAAGCACTAGTACCAGGAGGCAGACTTTACCATGGACTCTAGTCGCAGACAAACATTGATGGACATGAAGGTTAGCATTGGATGAGAAGTAGGAGGGAGAGATAGGGTTTGTCTGGGACTTCTCACTGAACAGCGATGATCTAAGCCACACTTACCTTTTCCATAGAGCCCTCTCAGTATTATTGATCACTGCATTCCAGAAGCTCAGCACCAAGTCTCACCTACAACAGGTACCCCAAAACCCACTTGTTGAATAAATGAGTCAAAAATGAAGAGTGACTTTTTTGTTCAGTCTCCTCTCAATCTCTAGACAAGGGGGCATTTGTCTTCTGCAGGACCAAAGGCTCAAGGTTCGATTGGTACAAGGATCAAGGGAAGAAGTGGGAGACAGGGTGCTTAATGAGCCAGTAAATGCCCTATTACAGTATTTCTGATGGACACTGAGGGTCTTAAGAGGGAATTTGTTGGATTTACCACTGGGAAGTTTAGAACTTAAGTGGTTCTATTCAGACCTGGTATTGGTGAAATTATTAAGGCCACTCCACGTAGTTAAAAGGAGATTTATTTAATGGCGTAACTTACAAATTAAGGGATAGGTAGGTCGCGGGGTCTGGGGAAGGTGTATCACAGTCCAGCGGTGTTCTCTGGAGCTCTGCTTGGTACACCTCCACTATCCAGGGTCCCAGCCCCAGCGTGCGCACCAATTCAGATCTCGGGTCCCCAGGCGCCTCCCTTGGCCCCGCCTTGTAGGCGTGACAGTTGTAGAAGTCTCAATGGGGGTTGGAACTTCCAGATCAAAGCTGGAATGGCTACCCACTACAACCTGGTGGTATAGTAATCTGTGGAATTGAAAGATAGATTGACAGACAGACAGACAGACAGACACACACACACACAGAGAGAGAGAGAGAGAGAGAGAGAGAGAGAGAGAGAGAGAGAGAGAGAGAGAGAGAGAGAGAGAGATCGGTCCTTAGGCCCATCTTTGACCACAGTGAAGCCTCAAAGCATCTCCCACATCTGATCAGGTACATTTACCCTGGCACACCTGATACAGGAAAGTCACTTTGGAATATGGAGACACGTGAAAGTCACTTTGGAATATGGAGACACGTGAAAGTCACTTTGGAATATGGAGACACGTGAAAGTCACTTTGGAATATGGAGACACGTGAGTCTTACCTTCCCCATTGGGCCCTCATCCTCATTTCTCCTCTTAAGCCAGAGAGGAGGATCTGGAGATTCAAATGGTCCAGTGATGATGCCTGAGAAGA